AGCCCATAATGTACTATTTGCATCATTAAGGCTTACTGCTTCTCCATCCTCATTTTGACCACAGTCACTATCACGATTGCTATCGCTTGATATATCCATTTCACCAACACCTTCTTCTTCTGATTCATCATTCATACGTTGATTAGTACCTGAATTATTTGTAGAAAAACCCTCAAACTTCATACGACCCGCCGCAACTTCAATTCTTGCTTCTGGTTGTGAATCAAGAGAAATTACCCAATGATTTTTATTTTTACTTGGTGCTGCTAGTATAACGGTTGCTGAAAGTCGTTTGGTTTTCCATAATTCACCTAAAAGTGGACGAGCTATGATTTTACTCACAACCGGGCCCAAAACAGAAACCTTGGCACCTTCTCTAATATTCGGTGAAATTCGTCCCATTACAAGGTTGGAAAAAAATTTAATAATTTTTTTTTTTTTAAATAAAAAAAAAAAATTTCACATACTCCTATGCATGCATGATACTTACTGGTACTCATCTTTGGTTTTCTCTCACGGCAAGCACCTCGGGCACCAAAAACATCTAATTTATGATCGCAAAGGGGTTGACGACCAAGAATTTTTCAAGATTTTTGCTTAAATAATTTAATGCCAACTGATTTTAACTTACTTTGAACAATCGTTTTTATATTGTAATAATTTCTTGATTATATCATATTTACAAATCAGGTATGTAACGCCCACTTACTTATCAATTTTAACTTTTTTAAATCAATTGATTTACCTAATATGATCATTGATACATTTTACTATCTGACAACAAATTTCCGTAATTGATGCATGATTCTGTCTCACGTGAAACTCTGACGAGCCTATAATATTTACTACAGAAGCCCCATGACGTAAGTAAGTTGCATATTAATTTTAAGCTTAGTTATCTTATTTTAATTGGTGAGACTTTTAGTATATTTCTTGTACTAAATCTAGTACAATATACTAAATCTAGTACAGGTAAATCCAATCCATTAATTAAAAGTTTTTTAATAATTTAAAAATTTTTTCTTAACAAAGTTAATAAAGTAGATCTTTAAAAATATATTTTACTTAGAAAGTATATTGTTAAAATTAATATTTAAGATTTTATTGAAAAATTAAAGTTTAAAAAAATAAACGCAGGCAAATTTGCCTGTGTTATAATTTAAGAGATATAGTATTATCAATATAATCTCAAGTTGCTTGAGTACTAAGCTTACTGAGATTAAATACTTGTTAATTTTATCTATTTGCTCTATATATTTTTTCTATTGCTCATTTATCATTAAACTGACTTCTGAGTCTTTCTTCTTGTCTTTATTTGAACTTAACCAGAAGCTTCTATAATTCATTTGTTCTTTGGTTATCTACATTTTTTCTTTATTTGAAATGTTAGTTTTGGCAACTCCTAAAATATTTTCCGTATTATCTAATATCTATTTATATAAAAAATCTACTTTATAGGTATTGCTTTTGATACCATTAATATTATAAGTTGCTATATTGAGTTCTGTTTTTCTTTCTGTATAATTTCTATTTATACTATTTATATTGTTTATAATTTCTTTCCAGATCATCAAATGCTTGTATACAACTTTTTTGTCCTTTTTGTCTTTTGTATTTCCTGATTGGCAAAAGATTATCTTTTCATAATCTATCTTCTTTACTTATCTCCTTGCAGAAAGAGAATAATTCTTTTGCTATTTTTTTGTGATTCAACTGTTGCTTCCAATTTAGAAGCATTGAACAACCCTTGGTTGCTCACTCAGATTTTTAAGATATCACAGAATTTCTACAAGCATTGTCTGGTGTTGGTTGATTCCAGTTGCCAAATTATCTTCTTTAAATATTCTTTCATTTTTGGCTTTTGCTTTTCTTTAGACTAGTACAACCTTTTCTCTTTTCTTAAAGCAATTGTTATTTTCTTTGTTACTATCTATTATATTGTTAATACTGGCTTCTTTTTCCTCTTCTGATATTGTTGTACTATTAAAGAAGGTTCTTTTCTGATATATCTTTATTTCTTTCTTGCTGGATTCTTTTTTCTATTTCTTGTTGATACTTGATTTCTTCTTCGACTTGAGTGTATTTTCTGATGCAATGTCTTCTTCTTGTCTTGCTCAAACCTATTGAAGAGTTAAGTTGTTATATCTTACTAATTTTCTCTATACTTCTTCTATTTCTTGTTTATTTGCAAAGGTCACTTTCACTATCTGTTTCATAAAGCTACTTCTTCTTTTTGGAATGTAAACTACCTTTGCCTTCCTATCTTTTAGATATTTAAGTAACAGATTTTAGAGTATCCTTCTGTAATATCTGTTAGTTTTGCTATAAATCTGTATCTTTTATTTTTTCTTTATAGTTCTCCTTTTCTATAAAAATATGGTCTAATTTTCTGTCATCTACTGAGAGAACCCAGGGTATATTTAAATTTTTTAAATTTTCATAGAACTCTACCACTGCTAGAGTCTATTATTTTTTATTTAATATTTATGTCTTCTATGTTGTCTAACTTCTTGCAAATGTATTTGATTTCTTTTGTATCTATGTTTACTGGCAGATCCCAAATTGTGATATAGTTCAAATTTATACACCTATTATGGTTATAACTTTTTGATGGTTCAGACTTATCATCATAGTATTTTTCTTTTTGATATAGATTTTCTTTTATTTCTTTGGTAGTTCTCTTTAGGTTCTCTTCTTTATTCTTGTAGATAAGATTTTGCTTTTCTTCTAGGTTTGTTCTCTTTGCTTCTTGGTTTGTACCTTGAGTTCTTTGATTTATCATCAGTTACTAGAATTAAGCAAAGCCAATCTCCTTCTTTCTTTTGAATTCTTTTGATTGCTTCTTTTCTGCAGTATTTGCAATCAAATTCTACTTTGACCTAGCTGTTTCTATTTACAAATCTTCCTGTACTGACTTTATATATTTGTCTTTATTTAATATTCTTTCTATATTCATAGTTTTTTCTTTAGGCAAGTTATCTGATATCTTAAAAGCTGGTGCTTTTGCCTAGTAAGACTTATCTTTTTCATATCCTCTGTTGCTTGGTGACCAGATACTTTGTTCAATTGAGTTACTTGTTTCTGAGAGTTTG